TTTAGGAATCAGTAGACCAAGTAGGTCAGATGTTTGAGGAATTCCATTTGATGCCTAGTTTCTCGATTCTGCTAAACAGTGGTCTCAGATGTTATCCTGATTCTCTTCAACTTGCTACCAGCTAAGAACGTGATGTATGATGAAACTTTTCAGACCACAGCCAGCCCTGGCTTAAAGAGTTCACTTAAAGAATTAGCCAAAAATTCATCCTCTGCCCTCTGGTCCTTTCTCCAGGGGACGTCAAATTTTCCTCTCAATTCAGGCATCCCTTCCTGAGTTCAGAGCATAGAATAACTTCCTCTCATCTCCCAAGAGGAGTCTGTAGGTGCATCAATAGCTGTTTTGGACAATGTCCAGACGGCACCTTGGCCAAACCTATGATTATACAGAAGCAGATTTCTCTGCAAATCTAATCGAGTTGGGGCACACCTCCACCTGACAGTCCTTAGTAGAGATCACAACTGTGGCCCATGACCCAATCACAGTGCATAGAAGAATTTTGTTTGGCTCAATTTTTTTTTTTAATTTTTGAATTCAAGTGCCTATAAAGGTATTTCAATTTGTGATCTCTGCCTTACACTCATCACAGGCTCTGACCTCAAGACATAAATGGGTACAAAAAAGTTAGTTAGATCACAAGCCAGGTGCTCATATTGTCTTCCTTCCTCCCCTCATTTCTTCCAAGTATTTAAGGCACAAGACAAAAAGGTGAGAGCTATTGAATTGCAATCACGGCTGTCCTTCTAGATCCTTGTGTGACATTAGACAAGTTACTTTGTCTCTGGGTGGTGGGCTACAGGGTTTCTGAGGCAACCGATAACTTAACAGTCTATGATTCTATGTGTCTATTCTCTCCACCATAGTGACAAAACTTAGAGTTACATATTAGCAAGTCCTATAAAGTTTACTTCCTATGTAATTGGAAATATATTATCCCATTTTATGGATAGCAAAACTTGATGCATAAAACAGTTGAGTATGATAGTAGCTCAATGTGGATATTCAAATGACTTTTGGCTTCTTTACTTAGCTTCCTCTGACTTGGAAAAAAAAAAATCTTCATTATTGTTAAGCATTATTTTGTACCTTTTCTTTCTTTTTCTCTGCCATTAGTTGTCACTAACCCAGAGGTTGAGAGTTATGCATGAGGGCACATAGTTATGCTGTCTATTTATTAAAATGATAATCCAATATGTTAGCCATCCTCTCTCCACACCAGTCAATCCATTGACTTTGGAACAATCACACATTCCTGGGGCTGAATACAAAGTGGTTGAGAGTTATGCATGAGGGCACATAGTTATGCTGTCTATTTATTAAAATGATAATCCAATATGTTAGCCATCCTCTATCCACACCAGTCAATCCATTGACTTTGGAACAATCACACATTCCTGGGGCTGAATACAAAGTCAGCCATACTCTGCCAACTGTATTTACCATTTGTTTTGTTCAAGATTAACTTCTGCTCTATTAAATTTGTCTAGGACCAACTGTGCTGAGCTACTTAGGAGTTCTGGACCTGTATAGCTTAACCTTATAAATTTCTTCATCTGTATATAATCTAAATGTCCATATCAATGGTTTGTTGATTATATATTTATGTATATCCATCTTTATGTCTATTCATGTTTATTTTATGCACCTTTATGTACCTAAAATTAGAAAGCATGAAAGATAATATATTTGAAAATATATATCACTATGCCTGACACATAGTAAGAGCCCTAAAATCATAATTTTGTTTTGTTTTTAAGTTGGGGTAGGGGCTGTCTCAGTCCATTCAGGCTATAACAAAATACCATAAACTGGGAAGCTCATAAACAACAGAAATTTATTTTTTACAGTTCTTGGGACAGGGAAGTCCAGGATCAAGGCACCACAGATTCAGTGTCTTTCTGATTCATAAATAGCACCTTCTGACTGTGTCCTCACATGATGGAAGGGGAAAGGCAGCTCTTGGAGGCCTCTTTTATAATGGCACTAATTTTATAATGATCAGTAATCATGATCTAATCACCTCCCAAAGCCCCCACCTCCTAAATACAATCACATAGGTAATTAGGTTTCAACATAAGAGTTTTGGGGGGATACCATCATTTGGACCATAGGGCGGTTGATGAAGGATTGATGGTGTCTTAGTCAGTTTCTGTTGCTTATAACAAAATTCCTGAAACTGGGTCATTTGTAAGGCAACAATATTTATTGCTTACAGTTCCAGAGCCTGGGAAGTGCAAAGCCCAGGAAACCCATCTGGTAAGGACCTTCTTGGCGGTGACTCCACAGCAATGCAGGTGTCACATGGTGAACGGCAGGAGCAAGAGAGAGTTAACTTGCTCATTCCCTCTCCTTGTCGAGCCATCAGAACCACACCTATTACTCCATGAATGGATTGATCCATTTACAAGGGCACAGTCCTTACAACCTGATAACCTCTAAAAAGCCCCCCCTTCAATTACTATAATAGGATTTCCCACCCTCTTAACACTGTCACAGTAGTGTTTAGGTATCTAATACATGAAAATTTGGGGGACACAATTCAACCCATAGCAGATGTACAGCATACTCAGACAAAAATAAGCCTCATTAACGTGGTGTTTCTGTAAGGGGGACATGTTTTTGTAAACTCTGGGTACAAAAATCAAGTGAGGTATGCCTAATCAAAGTATGAAACAACTAGAAAGTTTTCTTTTTAAAGACATTTAAAATAAATATATAGCACAATAATAATACTGTGAACATGTATGATCTGTACTTTTTATATCTTACTTAAGAAATCTTTACCTACACTAAGGTCATTTTGATATTCTCCGAAATTTTAATTTTGTTTTGCACCTTTAATCCATGTGGATATTTGTATATGTGATTTGTAAGGTACCAAAGCAATTCAGGTTTTTAACATGGAAAGTCAAATCATCCCAGCACCATTTATTAAAAAATTATCTTTGTTCCCACTGATTTTTGATGCCTCCCACTGTCTTACACCAAATATTCATGTAGTTACAGAAATGTCTCTGGATTCTATTCTCTTTTATTAATTTACTCATCAATTCCAGTGCCAATATTACTCTGTTTTAAATTCCACCATTTTGTAAGTCTTTATAAGTGGTAAGAAGAAAATTCTCCCTTCTTGCTCTTATTTTTCTTTTGAATTTTTTTTTTTTTTACTCTTATGAGAACTTTAGCCTTCAGATGAATTCTAGAGTCAGTCTATCAAAGGCCACAAAAATATTTTTGGAATTTTTATTGAAATTACATTTGATTCTATACTTATTTATTGAGAACTGGCATATTTAATATATTGCACTTTTTCATCAATTAACTTAGTACACGCCTCCATTTAGTAAACTAGTCTTTCCCATTCTTCAAGAAAGTTTTATAATTTTCCATGATAAAATTCTTTATTGAGTCTTTATAAAGATGACAAAAGAATTCCTTAAGCAAAATTAAGCCTTACTCTGTAATGCAAATTCTTCATATGCCGATTATTGTGCAAACTTTTGCTCCAAAATCACCTTTTATCCCATTCTTCACTGAGAACTAGTGATATTTAACCACATTGCTTTCGGTTTGTCCCGGACAGCTGGAGCGGGGATGAGATGTCCCTTTCCTGTGTCATGGACTCATTAATGAGTCTTTGTCTTCCCTGAGGCACTTGCTCTCTGACCCTTCCTTCCATACTGCATCTTTTCCAGTTGAACTCTGCCTCCAAAATGCTGCCTGTGCCCTGTGATGCTGCTTCTTTTTGCCTCTCAAACCTGAATGATTTCTCTCTGTAATTGGCATTCTACCGTTTTTGTTTGTTTGTGGCGGCTGGCCAGCAAGGAAATCTGAACCCTTGACCTTGTTGTTAGAAGGCTGTGCTCTGACCATATGAGCTAACTGACCTGCCCTGTGATAAGCATTCTATAAAGTGGCAAAAGGAGGGACATACTACAGCCCTTTTGGTGAGAAGATTCACTTCTAACTTAGAGCATGAGATACAAACTAATTCTCTGCCGCACAGCAATATGGATGCCATGGCACTTCCTGTGTGTCCATTAAAGATTCCTCACAGAAACATAAACTCGGGCCTTTAATGCCCAATAGTGTGTGCCAACAAATAACGTTCCTCATGACTTCCTTTTAATGTCAGCACATTTTAAGATCATGAGGGAAATACTTCAGTATCTTAAAAGTAGAGATTTTTCCCAATGGCTTTCCACGGTAGCAGTGGCAATTGTCACTAACACCACATCCTTCAGAATGAGTCTTCCACCTCCCTCTTTCTTCCTTTCCTGTCAACAGTCACGTCTCTCATAAGTATTAATTCTTCATTGCTATCTCTTCACTAACAATGTAACCCTGTTATTCTTCCTCAGAGAATATATTCTCCCCTTATTACCAAAAGAAAAGATGCTACTGTATCATCTACTTTCCACTTCTTACAGCCTGGATGTACTGCTAAGTTATTCTAAAGGAAGTTCAAGGTTATTGAGAGGACTGAAGGGTCAAAGGCATCACAATGTTGAAACCCTTGAGTAACTATTTCTCAGAAGTGAGTGTAATGATGGCTGTGCTGCGCACACGTGTGCACACACACACGCACAGTGGGGCCATTTACTAAAGGGCATACTAACTAGCTATTTTTTAAACACAATTTCTCAACTCATAGTTTACATTATGGCTTACACATGTTTGTAAATCCTGCAAGTCTTAGTTTTAAAACTGAAATGATAGAAGAGGACGTTTTCCTTGGTCTCTGGTCCTTTGTCAGTGTAACCATAATCGATACAATTATGTAAGGTCGTCTCTTTTCAGAGGCTACAGAAGCGTCTCCCTTTTTATGAATTGCAGAGCTCTCCGACTTGATTCTTGCTGTGTGTGCTTGTCCTGTGGTTAAGCATCTACCTTATAGATATTAAGATAGTCTCTGTTAAGATGTGGTCTCATTGATTTAATTTCTCTTGGGGGAAAAAAATGCATTGCTAATGGTCATATTGTCTCAAATTACAGATTACGGTATTTCGGATGGGATCGGAAGGACACCAGGACATTGATTTGGCTATCCTGACAGCTTTACTCAAAGGTAAAAGAGTTTGTGTGTCCAGATAGAGTGCAAAAATAATTTAAATGGACTAACACAGCAACCTTTTGTCTCCTAATAGTAGATATAATCCTAAATGATATCATGACATATCCAAATGTTGATAATATAAGGACCTCTCCTGTAGGACACTCGTACTGTTATTTAATTCATATCAAATAGATCTGTTATGGTGTGACTCAATTTTATAAGATTTAAATATACTGCAATCTAAGTCATGTTCATTAAATCATAAAAATATATAAAGTAAAAGGATGATGTAATAAGTAAGACATTAAGTTATCTGAGTTTACTTAATATCACCCTATCTACTTTCAAAAAAAATTTAATATGGTATAGATAGTGATATATGTGCATATATATGCCATATTGTATATGACACATATATAATTTTATATAATATTAACAGAATAGAACCGTATTCAAATTTCCAGTCTACCTATTCTTCTTTCACTCTTAGTATTTTATTGATTGCTCATCACATGACAGCCACTGTGCTAAGCTCTTTACAAATACTGCAAACATTAATTATGGCAACAACTATATGATGTAGGAGTTATTTTTAATCCCCATTTTACAATGGGGTAAGTGGAGGTACAAGAGGTTAGGTAACTTGCTAAATAAAGGTTACAATGCTAATTAATAAGTGACCCCTGTGACAATAGTAATTGTTGATCCTCTTTATCTACTCCCCAAATGTACATATGCACATTCATTCAAAATTCTGATCACATTTCAGAAGGTTCATAGCCCCATGAAGTGTATCTTGAGTCCCAGGTTGAAAACATCTGTTCTAAAGCATTTCATTCCA